AAAGTAGCGTAATCATAGCAGTTTTCATCCATAGTATGTCCATTTAAACGTCTGCGTTTAGCTTCAAATGAAGACAGTATTCTATAAAAATTATTTGCATTCCGATCTTGACATCAAAAGGCACAAAAATATATTTTTTCTTTTATTCCATGGATTTTACCCATTTACCTCCACTTGTTCCCAGTGTTTTTCTGCAACCACTATGCGCGCGCAGCTGCAAGTGACGTAACTGTGACGTCTACTCGTAATTGGTCTATAGCTGCCTGTTCACAACGCAATCGGAACGCGCATTTATGAGGTTTCAAAATGCTTTTCTAGGTAGGCAGCTTACTATGTTTTGAGACGCGGCCAAGCTCGTCTCTAGTACACACATGGCAAAGGATTTAAATATGATGGACAAATATAGAATGCAGTGCCTTTAGAAAGGCTATATATTTTTTAAATGTCAAAAAGTGATGGAGTCTATTGGCTGTAGGACACATTAGAAAGGTATTGGCTAGTAGGACACACTGGAAAGAATATTAGTTTCGTACGTGTAGTTTTTACACGTTATAGTGTTTTAACATGAAATGCCGCTTTTAATATGGTGTTTCAAGTACCGATCAAATAAATTGATTTGTTGAACATTTTTGATTGCCACATTATTTCCATCTGCTTCCATTTGTGCTATTTTATAGTTCTGGTGATTTTTTGTTATTAAAATATGGAAAGGAAAAATAAGTGTAGGCAGGCATTTTTTACAACAACCCGATAGAACATGTGATTTGAAATGAATTAATGAGGCTCCAGTAATATTTTGTTAAAGATTATTTGATCATTTGAATTTGATATTAATGATAATAAGAAAATGCATGGATATATGCTAAATAAATAAATAAACAGTTTTAGTCCTATGGTTCTTGTGCTCTACAGTTTAGAATTGCTGTAGCGCACCCTAGTGAACAAAAGTGGGCACTGCAACCCATTGTCAGAGGACCTGCGAGAGGGTGCTCGCTGCAGAGCCAAATGGGAGGGGCTAGACCTCTAGCTCCCCCTCGCTGGATCTAGTGGGCGGGGCTTGAGACATCATTGGTCCAGATGCACCGCCGCGCACGCAGGTAGAGTCCGTTCGAACTGATGTACAACCTGTATCGCACGGTAAGAAAACTGTACTTTAAAGATCAACTGAACTTTGAGATGTATATCAAATCTAAATCTTACATTTATCGCGGTCTCGACATGACTATTAATGTTATTGTTATGTTTTGACCCCCTGAAACATTAATCGGTAACGTTAGTTTTTTCGCGTAACTATCGATAGCTAATAAGTGCTAGCATTTTCCCATCCCCCTTGCTACATTTGAGCACGTGTAGTGTTTTTATTTACTCATAGTTTTTATTTTATTTAATTTCAGTATTTGTTTAACCTGCACAGATGCATCAGACAATACGTTTGCGAGGACAGGATCCCCTGCTGTCTATCCAGAGATGCACAGTGTGCTGCCAAAAATACCACTGTGCCTACTGTAAATCGGTGTATAACCATTTACATGAGCTCCGAAATCATGTAGCTAATCACATGCGAAATGCAGTTCAAGAAGAAGGTATGTTTGTGTGTGTGTCTGTGTGTGAATTATTTTAATTATAGTACTGTGGGTGTGAGAATGCTTGTTGAATTTTAATGTTTTTGCATGTCATAGTCATTTCTTCCTAGCATTTTAAACTAAAAATATATTGTTCATTTAATATGTTCTTGTGTTGTGAAACCTTTAGGAAGTCTGAATTTAACATACTTCACTTAAGTTTTTTGTTGTTGTTGTTATAGTTTTTCTGCATTACATTACTTCCATTGCCTGCTAAGTCTAGTAATTTACATAATCATATAGCATACGCTTTTATCCAAAGCAACTTCAAAAGTGAGGAAACTATTCTAATAAGGAGAAAATAATATGACAAGTTTACATAGATACAACGTTTTAAAAAGGTGTTAGAAACACACATATATCGTGTGAGTAATGTTCTTATCAAGTATTTACGTAATACAGTGGGATATGGATATGGGATATTCACAGAAACGATACTGACCATGATGAAAAAATCAATCATAATCATGACAAATATTAGAGTAAAATAAGCCAATATTATCTTTGCCAGCATCTTGCGCATCAAAACAAGCATTTACTTCCATTACGGTTGAACTGGCAATAACATTAACAGCCACATGGTGGCGCTTGATAGCGCTTCAAGCCCCGCCCACTAGATCCAGCGAGGAGGAGCTAGAGGTCTAGCCCCTCCCATTTGGCGCTGCAGCGAGCACCATTTGTCCTCTGCCACAGATAGATTTGCAAGCAAACCGCCACTATAATCTGGCAAACTGTTTACCAATCACGTTTCGCAATCGGCAAAGCAAACTGTGGTACACGCCACTACCAGTGCGCAATGGGTAACTCGCAAAGCACAATGTTCCTTCCTGTTTTCCCAGCACTATACCATAGAACAGGGATCCTCAAATCTGGCCCACGAGATCCACTGTCCTGCAGAGTTTAGCTCTACCTAATCAAACACACCTGAACAAGCTAATCAATGTCTTCAGGATCATTAGAAAATCACAGGTAGGTGAGTTTGATCAGGGTTGGAGCTAAACTCTGCAGCGCATTGGCCCTCCAGGGCAGGATTTGAGGAACCCTGCCATAGAAAGTATGAGGTTTGAGAAGTAGAAGGCGGGGCAACAGTTAAAGTTCAAAGTTAAAGTTCATGCAAACAGATAATAATTGACAAGTTTTAGTCAAATATTTATGGCTTATAGCAAAATCCAGTGTTAAAGTAGAGCGCAAACAATTATATTTGGAACATTAGAATATTGTATCCAATATGCACGATCCGCGTATTCATTCCGGGGATTTTTTTAGGGATCATATGCATATTCTTGTACAATAAGTGAAGTGACATGTGAAATGACATGTGGCCAAGTATGGTGACCCATACTCGGAATTAGTGCTCTGCATTTACCCATCCAAAGTGCACACACACAGCAGTGAACACACACAAACCGTGAACACACATCCGGAGCAGTGGGCAGCCATTTATGCTGCGGTGCCCGGGGAGCAGTTGGGGGATTCACTCCCCCCACCTACAATCCCTGCCGGCACAAGACTCGAACCCACAACTTTTGGGTTATGAGTCCAACTCTCTAACCATTAGGCCACGACTTCCCGCATCCTCTCTCGTTGCATCCATTTGGGTCGATCAAACGTGATCTTAGCCAAAAGGCCGAGAAGCCGAGAAGCGAATAAAGAGTACAATATACAATAAAGCACGATATAAGAAAAATCAGAGATGGTTTAAATGTCCTTTGAAATAACACTGAGCAATTGTATTGGTATGGTGGTAATTTTAAGTAGATCATCAATTATTACATACATTTACATTTAGTCATTTAGCAGACGCTTTTATGCAAAGCGACTTACAAATGAGGGCAACAGAAGCAATCAAAACCAACAAAAGACCAATAAAATGCAAATGCTATGACAAGTCTCGATTAGCCCAACACAGTACACGTAGCACGTAGTTTTTTTATTTTATTTTTGTTTGTTTTCTATATAAATATACATGAGCAATATCACTCGAGTACGAGAGCGATACCAGGATTTCGGTTAGATTTGTTTTGAGAGTGCTGTTGGGTTTTTTATGGAAGTCTCTTATGCTCTATGGAGTTATTTTTGTGTCTTTATTATTCAATCAAACATTATGTGTTTGAGAGTAAAACTAATTATTTTGTAATTAAAAAATAAAAGATTGCAAAAAAAAGTCTTCTTAAGGCTCAAAAATAAAGAAATTGATAACAAAATAATTTGCAGTGCGTATAAATCTTTGAAAATCTTTATTTTTCTTTGTGCACTTCAAACACTTTTCATCGCGATACCACAAATGTGACTCTTTTCTGCCGTCTTTTTTTGCGGGTCTAAAACTTTTGTTTGCAAGTTGAACAGTTTTGCTTGCTAGTGAAGCTGCCTCTCAGTGGGCGGTCTCTACCCACCAGGATGAAAGGCCTTTTTCTATTGGTCACTCTCAGTAGAACATCACATTTTTCTTTTCTGTTTGCAGGAAGAAGATTTGGTGTTGATAGAGGAGGCAACATCTTCAAGGCAAAACCTTAGACCTCATTCAACATCATCCAATGTTGCAATCCCCCTCAGGAGGTACACAAGCAAAAGCTAAAGCGAACATGGTCAATTATCGATTCCTATTTTACAAAATTTGTCCTGCATACATTTTTGTCTTTAATGTGTAGGCACTTGAAGACCAGTGTCCAATATGCACAGGAACATTTCCAGTGTCAGAAGTAGAACTGCCATGCCAGCTTTTGTGGAGAAAGGTAATGGTAACAGCGACTCACATTGAAGCTTAAAAACACCTAAAAGATGCTCTGATTTGGATCATATCTCATGGTAACCTACCTGACTATGTTCATTGCATTGGTTCAAAACAGTATATTGCAAAGGTCATAAAAAGATCATACGAAATATATATATACATATATACACACACAAAGTTGTTTGGAAACATTACGTTTTTTTTTGTTTTTTGACATAAGTCTCTTCTGCTTATCAAAGCTGCATTTGTTTGATCAAATATACAGTAAAAACAGTATTATTGTGAAATATTATTACCATAACTGTTTTCTATTCAAATACATGTTAGAAATGTAATTTATTCTTGTGATCAAAGCTGAATTTTCAATATTACTCCAGTCTTCAGTGTCACATGATCTTCAGAAATCATTCTAATATGCTGATTTGCTGCTCAAGAAACATGTATTATTGTCAATGTTGAAAAAACATTTTTTTTTATTCTTTGATTAATAGAAATGTATGACGTAAACTTCATAAAATTGTTTATAACAGTATAAATGTCTTTACTGTCACTAGTAAAGTATTAATTTATTTAATTTCTTTCCCAAAAAAAAAGTCTTACTGACCCGACTTTTGAATAATAGTGTATATTATTACAAAATGTTTCTATTTCAGATAAATGCTGTTTGTTTGAACTTTCTATTCATCAAAGAATCCTGAAAAAAAAATTGTACACAACTGTTTTCAACATCGATAATAATGTTTGTTGAGCAAAAAAATAAGCATATTGTTGTGACACTTAAGACTGGAGGAATGATGCTGAAAAATGTTGCTTTATTGTTTTTATATACATATATATAATTTTATTTATTTATTTTTACAGTGAGGAGGATGCGATTCGTCATGCAGCAGCACAGACAATCTGTCACGAGATAACATGTCTAAAGTTGTGGAAACGTCAAAAAACAGGAAGCCCTGTCAATCCCTTGAAAATCACCTTCCTTGGAGAGTCTGTAAAAATAAAAAAATTAAATTATATGTATATAAAGCTTAAAACAATAAAGCAAAATGTTTAGCATCATTACTCCATTCTTAAGTGTCCCTTTTAGATGTTTTTTAAGCTTTTATTTTTTAGGTGTTTTTAAGCTTCAATGTGAGTCGCTGTTGCCATTACCTTTCTCCACAAAAGCTGGCATGGCAGTTCTACTTCTGACACTGGAAATGTTCCTGTGCATATTGGACACTGGTCTTCAAGTGCCTACACATTAAAGACAAAAATGTATGCAGGGCAAATTTTGTAAAATAGGAATTGACAATAATTGACAATGTTCAATTTGGCTTTTGCTTGTGTACCTCCTGAGGGTGATTGCAACATTGGATGATGTTGAATGAGGTCTAAGGTTTTGCCTTGAAGATGTTGCCTCCTCTATCAACACCAAATCTTCTTCCTGCAAACAGAAAAGAAAAATGTGATGTTCTACTGATAGAATTCTTGGCTGTTTGGAGTAGTCAATATTTGCAAAGATTTATACGCACTGCAAATAATTTTGTTATCAATTTCTTTATTTTTGAGCCTTACGAAGACTTTTTTTTTGCAATCTTTTATTCTTTAATTACAAAATAACTAGTTTTACTCTCAAACACATAATGTTTGATTGAATAATAAAGAAACAAAAATGATTCCATAGCCACACGGACCTAATAGAGAGTCGTGACACACACACACACACACACACACACACACACACACATTACATGAGTGTGTAAATGAATAAGAAACAACAACGGAGGGTCTTTAAAAACCCTCTTTTGTGCAGAACTACTTCCTTCCGCCACATATTCAAATCTCAGTTTGACAGTTTAACAGCTGAGCTGAAGCCTCCGTTACTAATTTGAGAACGTCACTTTAGAGCTAGTAACGAAGGAACGTTGAGATGCTTCATTAAAAACGTATTGTATTACTTAATTAAAAGCTCACTGTGTTATGTAGAGTATTGTGAGAGAGAGATGGACTGAGCGAGTGTGATTACCGCATCTGATACAGCATTCATTCTTCAGCTCAATCTAATATTGACGTAAAAGATTCGTTTCAATGTCTGCTGAGGAAAGCATTATCTTTGTAGTACTGTCATCTGTTAAGGGTGATTTCCGATGACAGCGCTGCTCAGTGCATTTGTTAACTGCGTCTTACAAGCTGTTATT